TTAATACAAAAATAATAAGTGTGAGTCACAATTCTCAAAATGGATAATTATTTTAGAACGGAAATAGTAATTCATATAATTTATGATGTAAGATTCTCAAAATGGACAACACTAGCCTACTCACTGACCGCCAATGTGTCCTAATCACAAATATACAAATAAACTGTAATTGCAAAATTAAAAAAGTTATAAATAAAAACAATAATTTTGTTTGGAATAAAATTCAATCACATTCCCTTATTTTTTTATTTATCAATTTATTAATTTTATAATTATAAAATATGTGTATATTTGTAATTAGATTATATCAACGATTAGTAACAATAACCCTGCTTATCAATAAGTAAAAGTATTATTCTTTATGACGTTAGATTCTAGTATGCCCAATGAAAGGTAGAGATTCTCTCTTTTACATAGGACGCATGTGGTTTGATGTGGTCCATTTTAACTTTAGGAAAAAATCTAAACAACCAATTAACGGTCAAATATGTTGGCGACTCAGCGAGGCTAGATTTTTTTATCAGTCTATAAATTTCACACCCTTTGTCACTTCAAATAAAGGATTTAAATTTTAATATGTACTACAGTTTGATAATGATAAGCATACGTGTCACCATGAAATCTAAATACTTTGACCATTATACCTCAATTATTTTATTAACTAGGACTTTTATTTCAACAGTGATGATCGTTACTAATACTAATACTAACAGAGGTGAGTGCCTAAGATATGACGAGTCTCAATGAAAATAGGTATTAATGTTGGAGCATTCATATTCCTCTTCAACAATAAATTGTGGTGTTAATGATATACATTTTCAAAACTGGGTGCTTAATTTCTTGATTTTATATTTGACTACGATATTATCAAATTAAGAGATTCAAAGGATGCATTATCAATCTAATGACTAAACGAGGCCAGTTGATATGCAGAATAATGTCATTGATGGACTTTTATTTCTTATTATTTTTGTTTTTAAATTAATTATTATATATATATATATATACACACATACAAGCAAACTGATATTGAGAATATTAAAACTTACTTAGTTTATAATTCTGATATTGACATGTCTTTATCTTTGTCCGAAATAATTTTTGAATAGCGATAGTTGAATCAAATTCATTGGGATGTGTTCTCATACCCAATACTACGTAATTGATTTTAAGAGAGAAAAATTAGAGGCACGCTAAAGAATCAAGCAACTTGTGATATTGATTTTAATTTATATCCTCAGTTGTTGCGTCTTGGATAGTCTTCTAATGAAATCACTATTAAAAGAAACTTCCCCTCCTGGGTTGTTGCCTGTTGGAGTAGTCTTCTTCTGAAATCACCATAAAAAATAATAATTATTGTTAAAAAAATTAATATTTCTAAAGTATTGATTAGTTCATTAAGGTTATCTTTGTTTTTATGAAGTGTTTAGCATTTTCTTAACAAAATTTAAGTTGTAGCAGTGTAACGGGTACATTATGAGGCCGCCGCCAGCGTTGGCTCGATGCCTTGATTAGCACGCTATTACTTACTTCTCATTATTTTAACAAATTATTGCTTTCCAACAGACATTGTTTACTAAGAGATATGCCAAGTGTGGAACAATATCTATTTTGATTTGAAATGGAATTTTTTTATGCGGTATAACTTCGGTGGAATAATCAAAATTCAATATAAATTTAAGCTGGTATTTTAAGAATAAGACTATTTGTCCTAAAAATTTCAACCTTAACATTAAAATCGTGCTAAGGTACTAGATTATCCGAGTCAAACTAAACCCAACTTGAATTTAGTAACTTGCATTTAAACTCGAATACTAAATCGACCTTATATGCGTGCCTATATTTTAAAAACTTTGTAATTATTTGCTCTTTAGCTAGTCATGCTAAATGTTTAATTATTCAATATATATATTTTTATTGTGAATACTTTTTTGTATGAAGGTTAGGTATTAATCATGATCTTGAACCTAACAAAAATACAACTAAAGCCAAACATCATCTTGAGTTGGTATCAATATGTTTACATAGGATCAAACCGAGTAAAGCACCTGGCATCCATGGAGCATTAGACAGCATATATTGGTTTCATGTGTTTTTAATGGGTATTAGTGTTATTGGATTGAGCTAAATCCACTTTTTTAATTTCCACTTTCTCTTTCCTGTTGATCCACTTGCTTGAAAAACTCGTCTCTAGACGACGTAACTTAGACTAAAACCAAAATTTTATTAATATATTATTTACTCGTACAATTTTTTTTTTTCGACTTTCTAGAGTTTTGGCCTGTTCTGTCGTTCAAGTCTTATTAGAAACCTCAATGCTGACAACCTCATCTCTCGCGTCATCTCACGCACTACTTCAAGTGCGCGTGGGTCTAGCATCTTTTTCAACCTTTGCAAAACAAACTCAATTAGAGAAAATTAGGATAAACTTGCCTTGTCATTCGCTATTTATTTATTATTTATCATTATTTTTATTTGTTTTTTTTAACAAAGAATCAATTCATCCACTAATTATTTTGGATCCTTGAATGATTTGTAAATGCAGGTGCCTAGTCGTTATGACTTTTCAAAATCTTAGACTATCATGTATTGCTCAACTGCATCTACTAATCTCACAAATTATGTACATGTAAGTTCAAATATTTCTGCATTTCCTAAAAATTGAACTTATGGGGTTTGTTTGTTTGTTTTTTTTTTTTCTAAGAAGAATAAAAAAAACCTAAAATGACAATATATATATTTTTTCTTGACCATTGTGTCGGCTTTCTTAGAACGCCACATAATTCACCACTGATCATATATAGCCTTTGATTGCATAATTATTGATAAAATTTCTTTAGTTAACCTCAATGAGAATTGAGACTCTTGATCTCAACATTGTGAGACAAGAGTGTGTGTTTTTTGGTTTTTTGCCATTAAACTATTTCCATGGAGTTCTTTTATAACCAAGACTCTTTCTAGCTGAAGTAAAAACATAAAGAAGGAGAATCAAGACTAGTTCCAATATTCTCCATCCCCCAACTACGATTGGATTTAGGAAATGGTTCTTTTGACTTCAACAGGATTGATGACAAAAAAATTCTGCTATACATTATTACTCGGTTGAAAATGACGTACTATATAATTTTTAATGCCTTGTTTCCTTGCTCATAAGTAGCTTTTGCAATTGGATTACCCACATGACCACAAATGAATTGTACAGTGTTCATGAAAAGTATGGGCTTCATTTTATTCATTTGTCAAATAAATGAGTTCATGATTTGAACTTGTTCGGCAACCAAGTCAAATTTGAACAAACACCCATAAATCAAATGGTTTGATTCATAAAAATGACCAAGTATTTGTAAACGTCTATTGTAAAAATCGGCTTGAATACTCTTAATTGGACTCAATTTTAGCTCAAAACTCTGACTTAGCATAAGGGTAAATTTGTCATTTTGATTTATTTATTTTTAATTACTCCTTCCCTCTCATTTTAACTTTTAAGTCTCCCTTTTTTAAACCTAATTTTTTTAAGATTGGACTTTTAATATACTATATTTTATTGCATTAATAGTGAATGAATAACTAAATCTACCAATGGTACGTCTATAGTGATGTGATGATGTTTTATATTTAATCATTTTATTATGAGTTTAATGCAAGAAGGGAAAATCCGACTATAAAATTTAGTAAATTGACTTATGAATTGAGACAATTATTTTGGGACAGCTAATTATGAGAATGTGAATATTTATTTTGGGATGTAAAGAGTATATTTATTAGTCATTTCAATCTTCAACTACCACTAAATTAAAGAATTGTCCTCAATTGCGAAAATTAAAACAAGCAAGCGGTTTTATGCACAATAAGAGAATATTTGCAAATTCTATATATAGTGATTGATTTTTTTATTTTTATTTTTATAATTAACTCTTTTATTATTATTTTTTATCATGACAAAAAATTCACACACTCACGTTATTCATAATTACGAGAATTTAAAACCAATAACATTTTAATTAGTATTTTAATTCATCCTGTTAAGTTTGAATGGTCAAATGCTCCACTCTATTCCAAAGCATAGTTTTTTCTTTTCTTCAATGGGCAATCAATGTGTTGAATTTCTTATAATATACCTTATTTCATATAATAAAAGCAAATGTTTTTTTTTTAAATGAAAAACAGCTAGAAAGACGAATCAGAAATAAGAAATCCAATAAATTAGATAAGCTTAAGATGGTATTATGTGGTAACAATATGGATGCATCTAAGTAGCATCACTTATAGTGGCTCCTTCCATTTCAATTTAAGTATCGTTTACGGGGAGTAATAATTTTTAAGGGAACATGTGGAACATGCATTATTTGTCTGAAAAATTACTAACTTGTCCTTTTAAATTTTGAACAAATGACATATATTGTTTGAGAAAGAAAAGTGAACTATTATTTTTGGACAACAAAAAAAGAAAGCATGACACTTATTTTGGGACAGAAGGAGTAAAATGGATAAGGAGAATTTGATGCAACTTCTATTATTTTGATAAAACTATTCCTTTATGTTTGCAATTTTTTTATTATTTTAAATCATGTATATCTGTCCCATATCACATACACCATTCAAGTAAGAAGTGCAATTAGAAAGCTAGACCTCAAGACTTATTTATCCGATCTCTGCCAATACCACTGTGTCTATGAAGACCTTTATGCTCGCATATAATTGGTTGTTGGAATTAAAAAATTTCATGCACCTTCAAGTTTGGAACTTTGAATTCAAGTTATTCAACCAAATACAAAATGAAAGAAAATATAAAAATAAGAAGACATTTACAAAGACAAAATGCAATTTATCCAAGATATATACGTAGTGTGCGTGTGTGTGTGTATATATATAGTACAGTAATACTTAAAATAAAAGAAGGTCTATACGGAATTCGAAGGAGCGTGAGACACACCCAATCAAGCCAGAAGGAAGCCAGATATAGCCAGCCAACACAGTAGTGTACTACCAGGTATGTTCTCTCTGTGTAGCTCTGTTGCTACACGCATTTGACTGTCAAAATTAAAACCCCTCCTCTCCTCTGTAAGCCTCCGATTTGGTCTTCATTGTCACCTCCATTCCTCTCTCTCTCTCAAGAACCACAATATAACACCCCAGAAGCGCCTTCCCTCTAAGAACCGTATATACCCACCTGTCCAATACTTCTCTGTTTCATATAAATCTCTCTCTCTCCCCGTCTCTGTTCATCCATATATCTCTCTTCATATAGATTTTGGCCTCCTTTCACACCACCCGACCTCTCTCTCTCTCTCTCTGAAACAAATCTCACATACCCACTTGTCCAACTCTTCTGTTTCATATAAATCCCTCTCTCTCTCTCTCTCTCAAGAAAAAAAACAGAGCAAAAACAGAGCAACCCCTTATACCCACTTGTCCAACTTTTCTGTTTCATATAGATCTGTCTCTCTCTCTCTCTCTCTCTCTCTCTAGCTTGTTGCAGAAGAGATGGTGCGCTATCAGAGATACCATCAGCTGAGAAAAGGTGAAGTGGCTGTTTTCGAAGAAGATGAGGAGTCACAAGCCTTAGTTTTTGTCTTTGGAAACTCTGCTTACAACAACAAGAGAGCAAGGCCTAAACTTATCTCTCTCCTCTTTCTCTCTCTTCTCTCCTGCAGCTTGATTCTAGCCCCTCAACTCTTCAACTTTCCCCCTAACTTTTCCCTCTTGTGTAAGTCTTTACTTTTTATGGTCTCCCTCTATTTTCATTCATTTCTTCTCATTTCCGTCTCTTGATTATTTTCTCTTCTGGGTTTGCAGATTCATTTGGACTTGAAGATCAAAACCTTGTCAATGGGATGGATGTCAATGCTTCCCTATGCTCTTCAATTTCTAGTGGTAAGTGCTTACTACTTTTATTTTTCTGTTTACATTTTCCTTTTTCTAAATATTTTCGGGTATTATTTATGATATACACAACCTTGTTGAGATGGATGTCGAATATTTACTTTCCTCATCAGTCTCTTTTAAATTGTTTTAAAAATAAAAAATAACATTTTGTTCTTTGATGAATTCTTTTGGCTTAATCTTTGATCATAGAGGGATGAATAAGCCCTCTGTTATTCAATCTCTAGAGATATATTATAAATATCATATTTGTTTGTGTGTGTATAGTGTTTAATCTAGGTTAGACGCATAAAATATTTCCATTTTGTTCCCTCAATCTCTGATGATATATGTATATATTTGTGATTTCCTTTTTCATCATGGTGATATAGATGTAATACCCTTTGTTCCTAAGTCATTTTTTGTCTTTATTGTTTAATCATGCAGAATGAATTTATAAATACTGCCTTTTCTTTTTTCATTTTATACCAATATTTTCTCATCTCCCCTCTCCCTCTCTCTCTCTACCTAGGAATTTTAAAACTGTATGGTCTATTGAATTCCTCTGTGTGTGTGTGTGTTTTTTAGCTTCTTTTTTAGAATTTTGTTTAGTTGTTTTCAGTCTAATGAGAAGATATTTGGTTTAAATACAGGAACCATATGTTGTGATAGAAGCAGCATTCGCTCAGATATATGTATGATGAAGGGGGATGTGAGAACACACTCTGTTTCCTCTTCAATCTACCTTTACAGCTCAAAAAACACAAGTGACTTCACTGATCATTTATCCGGTATGGCCAAAATTGGCAAAGATGAGCAAGAAGTGGAGCTCCAACATGAAAAGGTCAAGCCATATACCAGAAAATGGGAGACAAGTGTTATGGGCACCATTGACGAATTAGACCTTATCTCAAAGAAACAAAAATTGGGTGCTCAACATGTGTGTGATGTCCGGCATGATGTGCCTGCAGTGTTCTTCTCGACAGGGGGCTATACCGGTAACGTTTATCATGAATTCAATGATGGAATTTTGCCTCTTTACATTACTTCTCAGCAATTCAACAAGAAAGTTGTGTTTGTTATTCTCGAGTATCATAATTGGTGGATTACCAAGTATGGAGAAATTCTTTCACTTCTCTCAGATTATCCCCCAATAGATTTTAGTGGTGATAAGAGAATCCATTGCTTCCCAGAAGCCATTGTTGGTCTAAGAATCCATGATGAGTTGACTGTGGATTCTTCATTGATGGAAGGGAGAAAGACAATCAGAGATTTTCGAGACCTTCTAAACCGAGCTTATGAGCCCCGAGTTAGAGGTCTAATTCAAGAGAATGAACAGAGAGCCCAGTTGAATTCGAATGAGAAACTTCCTGGTGTGCCTTCATCAAAGAAATCATTAGAAATGGTACAGGAAAAGCGAGAATTGAAAAAACCAAAACTGGTCATATTATCTAGAAATGGATCAAGAGCGATAACTAATGAAGATTCATTGGTGAAAATGGCTGAAAATATTGGGTTTCAAGTGAAAGTTTTAAGGCCTAATCCGACCACAGAATTGGCAAAGATGTATAGGGCACTTAATTCAAGCGATGTTATGGTTGGTGTCCATGGTGCTGCCATGACCCATTTTCTCTTTTTAAGGCCTGGCTCCGTGTTTATCCAATTGGTGCCCCTCGGAACAGAATGGGCTGCAGAGACTTATTATGGGGAACCTGCAAGGAAGCTCGGTTTGAAGTATATTGGGTACAAAATCGTGCCCAGAGAGAGCTCATTGTACGACGATTATGACAAGAGCGATCCTGTTCTGATGGACCCTAACAGTGTGGCCCAAAAGGGATGGGAATTCACTAAGAAGATCTATCTTGATCACCAAAATGTGAGGTTGAATCTTGGAAGATTCAGGAAGAGGTTGGTTCGCGCCTATGATCACTCCTTTGCTAAGATGAACAAGCATGCACACCTTCAACCACAGTAATTTTTCAAATTTCACTCATTTTTTTGTTTGAATATCTTTTAACATTTGTATATTAGTTAGCACCAGAAGAAGATTAGGAAGATGTTTTTGTAAAGATTAGTGATCATTTCAAAAAAGTTGTAAAAGTTTACTCTTGGTATATATTGTTACAAAGATTCTATATATTCTTTAATCTTTCATGTAAAAGTTTGCTCATTTCAAAAAAGTTGAATATGGTTTTAACAAGAAGAATCTACACAGCTTATATGAAATACTACCAAACTGTATTTTTTATCATGTTGGTCTTAATTTCAAGAGTTCTACGTCTTGATGATTTATTGAGTTGAATCTCAATTCTACTATGATTTTATGGGGTGTTTTCTCAATTGGCTTAATGAAATGTCGTGCTAAATTCCAGTCTATTGATGTTATGATGTATTGGGGATGAATTTGTTGACACTGCTCTTCATTATCTTCAGTGTTTGCCTGTTTTAGTTGTGTATTAGTGGTATAGGCGCTAGAAATGATTTGGAAAAGCATAAATATATACATCAAGATTATGGAACGTGGAAGATCAGAATGTTCATGTAGTCGGAGCTTAATGACTTTGTTCTCAACTGCTAACCATAGACCACAGCTGCTCAACTTCAAGCAGACCTCTTACTGGTATTGTTGATTTAATGGTTGTAGTTAATACAACTCAGCTTAATTATATTTCATTGACTTGTGTCATTACATAATCTTTTTTACACTATTATCTTATGAAACATAGATGGACCAAATCTCATCTGTTTTGGTTCAACATTTCATGAAATATTTAGTGGTTTGAACATTTCAGTGCCAACATTTTGTGGACCAATTTGCTCTGAAAATGGGATGAAATTAGATATTGATGTGATTAGGTCTCACACTAAAATCCGTGTTGAACTAATTCTAGTGTTCAAGAGTTGCTGTTTGTTATCAGCATTTGTCAAAACACACAAAAATTACAGTTATCAGGCACACCTAACAACATCAAATTCAGAAACTTTGTGAATTTCTCTATGTTGTATGGAGAGTTAACCCCAGCCCCAAAACACACACACACACAAACCAAATCCCTCTCTCCAGCCATTTTACTTTTAGAGGTCTTCTGTAACTCATGGTAATAATTGGTTTTGGATCATTGTATATGCATAATTACTGAATCTTTGCCAAATATTTTTAGCTATATGGAACTTGTGAAATATTGCCATCACCTCTCAACCTTTGTTTCCTTTTCTTCTCTTTTGCCTGATTATTTGACTTTCTTTTCCTTCAAAAATTTGTCTTTGAAAATGTTGGACTGTAAAAAGGACTAAGACCAGAAGTAAAAACAGCACCAAACATTGTACTAGTATATAAAACTACCTGCTTGGCTTGTTCGTCCCAATTTTCTCAATGAGGGTAATCAGGTTGCCTTTTTATGGAAACTCAACATCATGTGACATACAAAACATAGATTATTAACGATTATTGGAACAAATCATGTTTGGTACGTGTTCAGTCATTGATTTTCATTAGTGCATTGAGTGTACAGTATTGTGTCAAGTCAGTGATAAAAAGTAAAGACGGTTGTGCAAGAGATCACCACCGTGTGTGTATGTGTGTGTGTGTGTGCGTGTGTGTGTGTATTGTGAATTTGTTGTATTCAAACAACATACCCAAAAAGTAGTAGCCTAATGTCTGATTATGAAAAGGAAACCCATTGTCTGTAAACTCGTTTAGGAAGTTGGTATCAAACTTTTAAGAAAGTTTAGGGGAAACCCTTGATATGTATGTATATTGTATGGTTGGTATATGGAGGGCCTTAAAATGAAATAAGCAGCCAAACGCAACCCATAAAATAGATGTTGCTTGACTCATGGACCAACCATCACTACTTGGTCCACTACAACTGCAATCTCATCCCAAACTCTTTCTTAGATGCCTTTGGACATTCAATAACCCACATCACTGCCTCCATTCTAAGACAACATTACAACGCTAAGAATGTTTTTATAATAAAATAGATTTATAAATAAATCTCATGTCTGCATATGCATAATTAATGTGTACAACTTTTTTTATAAATAAATTGAAGTTAAAAAATCAAGCAAAATATATATATATATATATATAATGTAGCGGGAAAAAAATATAAAACAGAATAAAATATAATGAAAGCAAAATAAAATGAGAAAATTAAAATGTGTCATATATATTTGTCCTATTTGCTTACGCTTAATGATCTGTATATACAGCCACTGCTTCATCACCATCAATGAAGCATTAACCAAGGTCCAAAGGAGGTGTTCAGAATTCCATGTTTGGTAGAGAAAATTAGTATATGGAGTTTGGAGTGACCAAATAAAACCAAACTTGAAATGTACTTATTTCAACACCGGCCAAACCCCTCCTTTTCCTTTTCGTTTGCTTTCATTATCACAAAAATCATTAATATGATATTTACTATATATTTTTTGTTCACTTAAATCCTATAGCTTTTAACTTTGAAAGGAAAGGATATGAGATACAATAAACTATACAATTGAAGAACATTAAAAGTTGTTTTCATTATGTTGGGCTGGGCTCAATAATATAATTACTAGGTTGGGCCTGACATCATAATGTAGAGCTTGAGATTAGGTAATGGGTCTGAATCATTTTTTGGTCCTTGCCATACTTTCTAGCTGTGTATTTTTTTTTTTATCGATGTGACACAAACCAAAACACCTTTGTAGAACTATCACATACTTTTACAAGTGTACCAATATTGTTTTTGGTTGGTGTGGAATTTGGATGGGAATTTTTTTTTATGAATTTGGACAACGTATCACAGACCATGAAATTGAGAGTGGTGTTAATTTTTAGAGTCCGAATTTATTTTAAGTTGGTTAAATATTTTACTAATCCAGCAATCCAAATAACTCTATATACAAGAAAAAGTTTATAATTCTTACTGCAATACACTGTTTATAATTCTTAACTTTGACGGACTGATTTACAAATTTAAAGTAAAATTTTTGTAATAATTAGATTTTAATTTTAAAAAATATTATTAGATTTTAATTTTAAAAAATAAATAATATAAGATATTGAGTTATTTTCAAATTATAATAAGAAATAATATTATTTTTAAGTTCCACAAATTTTAATCACCCACCAAGGGAGGCCTTATGGACTATTGGTATATTTTTTACCTCTGGATGGTGAAAGTTTGAGTTTTAAAGAAGTAAAGTAAGTGTTTGAATAGTATGTATATGCATTCTTGCCAATGAAATAATGATTACGTATACCCTAATTTTGATGTTTATACACAACGTCATTTGAATTTGCATATATTAATAATTGAGAATTTTACCTATTAATATATTTTATTTTATTGTTCATGAAGATAACCCCGTTTAGGAAACGATTGCCTAATCTGGTTAACATTATAAACACCAAAAGTTAGAAATAGTAAGAGCTAATTTATCAATTACCAAATGTGTGAAAAAAATCCTATGAAATAATCAAAGAAATACATTAATTGCATCTATTACCTTATTAAGAAGTTTTCCTATTGATATTTTTCTGGTCCACTAAGTTAACCCGATTTAGAAAACGATTGCCTAATCTGGCCAACATTTTAAATACCAAAAGTTAGAAATAATAAGAGCTAATTTATCAAGTACCAAAAATGGGGAAAAAATCCTATAAAAAAAATCAATGAAATAGTGCTAATTAATTCGGGATACTAATAACAAGATATGGTTAATGTTGACTCTTGGTGTTTGGTTTTGCTGTTAGAATAAAAAAAAAAATTGCTTTTATTAGCAAAGTGGTATTAAAAAACATGCTAGCTGTTTGGTAATCCCTCTCTTATAAAGCACTTTTTCATCATTAAAGTATTTCTTAATTTGTTTGATATTGTTTATAGAACCTAGATTACTAATTTTACAATTATTTTCTTTAATATGGTGGTACTATATTTGATAATAGCACGAGTTTATAAAAAAGAAACAAAGAAATGATATTAGCTTCATAAAAAATATAAAGGGATAAAATTATCTAATGAAAAATAATTACATAAAATATCTACTCAAAAAACAATTTTAAAAGTTAGAAATTTTAGCTTTATTCAAAAATTATACTGAGCTGAAGTTGATAATTATTAAAACTACTTTTAGTGATTACCAAGCACATTTAAATACAATTTTTTTTAAAAAAATATACTTTTAGGTGTTGAAAAGCAATCCCAAACAGACTTGTAGTATTAGCACTATTTGACATTATGATTAGATAAAATTTCAAACACATACAAAGCTCCATAGACAGAACATTTTTAATTTTTAATTTTTATTATTTATTTATTACTATTATTTTTTTGTTTTAGGCATGCAAATACAATATTAAACTTCACATCGTCAAAAACCAAAAGGAAAATTACAACCTAGCTAGTACTATACTCCTACGTTTGCACCTTAAAAAATCTTACTTTTTTTGTTTTTTTTGCTATTTAAGTTAGTAAAAAAAAGTTGTATAATTATTCTATTAATAAAATCAATAAAATATATTTATTTATTTTTATTCAAAATTTATGTTGACTTTTGTAAGGTTTTATATTTAATATAGCAAGACTAATTTAGTAATGTTATAAATGGAAGATTTAGTGGATTTAGGAGTTATATAAATAAATAAATCTCAAAAGTAGAACTTATTAGTCCTAAAGAAAACGTTTAGGACTTATTTGTCTTTCAATGAGAAAAGTAGTACTACATGGTAATTTTACCAAACCAAAAACCTTCTCTCTACATTGAGATATTTTCTAATTTAGTTAGAAAGCGTCTTAAAAATTTACTATATGTAGGTGAATTATACTATTTTCATTTATTTATGACGAATTTGGAAACTAGGAATCTACCAACAAGAAAAAGATAGGGAAATTTTTGAAAATTATGATATATTTATAAACAAAGAAGACTTACAAAAATATAGTAAAACCTACATTAAGAATTTGCAAGGGCCATTTTATCTTTACTTGGAGTCTTAGGTGGATCTTAAAGGTAAAATTACTAATTATATCATATTTTAGTATTCAAATCCCACTACATAAGTAAAATGATAAACCTTTTTCTATAATTGAGTCATTCTCATTAACGTATCCACACATAAAATAATTATATACAATATTATATATATGGGGGCAGTAACTCCAATTAATTAATTTAATGGTTGTTTATTCAAACATGGCCTTAGTGAAAAACGTTCAAAACCACCAAGAAAGAAAAATGGTATTACCATAGTTGGATGTTTGCTAGATATAGTAAACTCACTGTTTCCTTTCTATTTTCTCTTCCAAATATAGTCGCACTTTCCTTCATTAGACCCTAGAAATTCAACCAAACCAAGAAAGATACATATAGATGTTGTAATCTATAGATATAAAGATTGTTGTAATATCATTTTTGTTGTTGTGGAGAGTATTTTGGATGCATGAGAGAGGAAGAAGAGGGTGTTGAGATAGAGAAAATAATAGGAAGAAGAAGAAGAAGAACAATGGGTAGAGGAAAGATTGAGATCAAGAAGATTGAGAATGTCAATAGCCGGCAAGTCACCTTCTCCAAACGCCGTGCCGGATTGCTCAAGAAGGCCAAGGAGTTGTCCATTTTATGCGACGCTGAGGTCGGAGTTGTTATCTTCTCCAGCACCGGCAAGCTCTATGAATTCGCCAGTTCCCGGTACATCTACATGTTCTTGATTTTGGATTGTTTGTTGATTAAGTTTTTTATTCAATCATTTTTATTTTATTTTATTTTTTTTGGTTCAATCTTGAGAAGTTGAACATAATGTTATCCATGTGATTTTAATTTATGGGTTTAATGATTTATATTTAAATTTCAAGCACTTGTTTATGTTTATGTTTATGTATGTAAGATTAGATTGTGCCTATTTTTGGTTGCTAGTCCATTTTCTTGATTTTGGGTTGACTCCATTACTTTTTGGTCAACTCATGTTTATCCATGAGTCGGTTCACCTAAAGTGTGGAATATCCTACTTGTTAACTTTTTCAACTCAATTGTTGGTAAAATGGTGCTGGGTTTTTCAAGTCTAGGTGAGACTTAGATGACTCAGCTATGAGTGGACTCATTGGGTTTTTTTTTTTTTAATATTACCATCAACTTAATTGCTTGTTTTTATTATAATTATTTCTTCTTCTTCTTTTTTTTTTGTAAATAAATGTCTTCACCAATTCCTTTTTATCATACTTGTATGAATTCCTATGCTTGTTATATTTTTATACAAACTTTCTTGGATTTAAAATTTTGAAAATGTTCAAATCCCTACTTACGTTTCTAACCAAACAAAGTCATATAATGTGACATCTCTAATTAAGCCCAACCACTTTACCAAATAAGTTTGTTCTGGAAACGAAGGACAACAGGGACAAATTAGGACCCAAATTCACCATACCCAAAGTCAGTCCCAGAATTTTGTTCTTTCAACCAAGTTATTTGGGCCCAATTCACATAGCCCAAAGCAGAAAAATTACCAATTTTTTATTAAATGTCATAGGTCATTTTTGGTTGGATATTGAGCATCATTGCTCAATTTTCATGGTTTCTGAAACAATGAGCAGCATCATTTGGCATGGATTAGCAGTTATAGCATACTTATACACACACATACAAATTACAATGTGTCTCTAGGTATGCAGATATTACATACATTATTTTTAGTTAGATTCTGTTGTATATTTCTCATTTTTTGTTTTTGAAGCATGGACCAAATTCTTGGGAGATACAATAAGGGCCCCGAGCCTTTAGAGCTTCCTTCAGTTGAGCATGTGGCAGAGGTAATTTATATTTTTAAGCAACAAAATGTTTCATAGCGTATATCAAAAGACACACAACGTCACATCACTTACTTATCAAAACGATGTCAGTGCTGTTTCATTTTTTTTTTTTGTGTTTGAAGTATTTCTTATTTTTGTTGTTCTTTGCGGTCTTGAAGCATGAATCCCAGCCTGAGGTTGATGCTTTAAAAGCTGAGGTTGCAAGGTTGCAAAGGGTGCACCGGTAAAGTCTATGCATTATATGTCAATACTTCTGTTCATCCTCTCTCCACATTGTGTAGGCAAAACATATAATGGATACTGCATGAAATGTTTTTGTATATTAGTGTATGTATATTATTTAGGATACAAAATCCAGTATTTCAAAATGTGAAAACCCTTAATTCTGTGAAAGTTAATTCACTTCTTCAAATTAAGCACTTGAAAAGTAAACTAAAACTCGGGGAAATAATTAGTAAAATAAAATTGAAACACCTACTTTTTTTTTTCTTTTTTTTTTTTGTTGATCTCTACCCAATACTACTACCTTTTCTCAACTCTTGTTTTGCTATTATGTATGTGACTTTTGAAGGCGGATGATGGGTAAGGAACTGGAGGGATTGAGCTTGAAGGAGTTGCAGCACTTGGAGAATGAACTGAATGAAGGGATGTTATCTGTTAAAGATAAGAAGGTGATATATACAATTTAGTAACTTATAAAGCTAAGACAATCAGAGCAGAGTTTCATTGACTAGAGTTTTTTTACTGTTTCAGGAGCAAGTACTGTTGGAACAGCTTGAAAAATCAAGATTGCAGGTAAATCTCCTATTATTTAAGAATTTCTCGAGTTTCATACGCCAAACAACATTATATATATTCAAATGAACTCTCAACCATAATAATAATTTTGTATCATTCTCTAATATACAATGGCCAAGTCTAATTACCCAGATTCATATGTCAATATTCTAATTACGAATTGTTTTTGTAGGAACAAAAGGTTGTGTTGGAAAATGAAGCATTGCGTGAACAGGTAAAGAACAAACCTGACCTTGTGAAATCATTTTTATTGTTGTGTATCACAATTTACAAATACATATATATATGTCTGAGATATAAATTTGTTATCAAACGCTTGCAGATTGAGGAGCTTCAACGAAGCTCAGTTGCACATCAAGAACACCGATCTATTGGAAGGAAGCATTCACTGACGAGTTCAAACACAGTTTGTAACTGCACTTCAGAAAGACAAGAAAAAGATGGAGATTCAGACATTTCATTGCGCTTGGGGTAATGTTCATTGCTAGAAACAAATTGTGATCAACTTTTTTTGTGTTTGTGTTTTGAACTTTTGTTGCATTTTAATTACACTAGTTTATCATATTAATTTCGTTACATGGTTTTTGATTTTTAGGTTGTGCAGTGACGTTTATCACAAGAGGAAAGTACCAAAGATCGAATCTGTTTCCAACGATTCTGGGAGTCAACTGGTGTCACAATAAATTTTTCTTGGAGAAATATGGCTGCTGGAACAACATTTGATCTCCATATTTGAAATACTTTGAGAACCTTCATCTTTTATATGTATTGATTGATTATGACAATTTTCGATTTCCATAAATGTTGATGCCAAGTCTATGGGGATGCGTTAAAGCGGCTACATTTTTAAAAATCAAGATAATCATATTACATTTAGTTGTAGATAATTTCATCTTTTTCACATTTGATGGTTTTCATGTTCAAACTGAAAAAATAGCACTTACGTCACAAGACCAAAAACGAAAAAAATTTCTTTGATACTCCCATCAATGATAGGAAAAAAATTAAATTTGAATTTAAATTCTAAGTATAACGTTTTAATAGATAGATAAAAAAGAAAATTTTGAGTAATACTGTTTATGTTACTTTGCCGATAATAAACGTACTATGTCTGCATTTGAGATGCACTGGCTTTCACATGGGAAACAGTAGCTGTTTTAGACTATTTGACTGAAACTTTGTAATACCATTTTTAATCTGAGTTGTAATAATATAATTTAATCATATCTCAAAAGAATAATTCATGTAAGAACCAAATAATTGTTTGAGGGTTACATCAATATTGTTAAATGCTACTGCATTTGTTAGACAAACATAAAAACTGATTACTTAAAGCTATTTTAAAATATATTTTTTCTTTTTAATACGCTAATTGAAAATGTAGTTTCATTCATGTAAGCCAAATAAAAACAATACAAAAAAACAAAAATTATGCAAAACAAGTCCTAAAATAAAATAAATTATCCATATATTTAATTTAGGACTAATATCACAAGAGAATTATAAAATAAATTTGTGTTTCACTGGTCCAGTTCTTAAATGTCACAAAATATGTAATTTCTTTTATATTGTTTGATAAAACTGAAAATTAAGTCTTGAAAATTTTGAGAGTTAAATTTTAAGTGCTGAATTGTAATTAAAAAATAAATATTTTAAAAATATTTTTGAATTATTAGCATTCAGCATTCCGTGATAATTGATGTATATCACTTAAAATTTTATTTCATTTTAAGCATTGAAATGGTAATTAAAAAATAAATATTTTTTGAAATATTTTTGAATTTTTAACGTTAAGCATCTTTCATTTAAAATTTTATTCAATTTTAAGTGGTGCTTATTATTTTTAGCGATATTCAAAGCCTATAATCAAATATACTTAATTAAATAAACGCCAAGTACATTCAGAATCAAAACTGAATTGAATAATCAAACATCGCCTAATTTCAGCTTTAACCCAACTTACTCTGACAAAGAGCAGGAGCAACATCCCGTTCAATAAAGAAACATGTACTAAGATGAGGTGAACCTTACAAGAGTGTGGACTAGTCTAAAATATTAGAGAACATGGTATTCATTTAAATATTTAAAACTGTATTCACTAATAAATACGGGAAGTAAAATACTCAAGTGATGTGACAATGAATGTGGAGTAGTCTAAAATATTAAAGAATATTGTATTGATTTATATATTTAAGATATTCTAGTGAAGAATTAGAGAGTCGACGCTGGTCTATAAATAGTTGGTGAATAATTACAAAGAGTCCATCTATGGGTTGTTGCACCTTCATATTCACTTCCAATCTCACCTCTATCGACTGCGGCCCAGTAAGATCAAATAAATACGAAAATTAGATTATCAAAAGTAGTAAATGATACTCTCTTAAAAAAATTTATTTGAAGGTGCGATATTCATAGCCTTAAATTTCTTATTATTGTCAATTCAATGCTTAATCTTTAATCAAAGTAATGAAACACGCATATATATATACCCTTGTGGAACACTATAATTTTGAAGAATCATAAAATTTTATTGATGTTTGTAGACATTTATAAATTTTTTGTTTTGTTTTGAGATTTTAAAAAAAATTTAGTATCTTTTTATTATTATTATTATTATTATTATTATTATTATTATTTTAAAAGTTTGTAAATCACCACATTCACTAGATATTGTATAATATAAAGATATTTTCGCAAATATCACACCATATACTTATGCATTTATTATAAATATATAGGCTATCAAGGAAATTTTTTTTTAGGATGCATTTTGGGATCATGTCAAAACTCTAACAATAATGGAGGTATTTTAATTGTCAAATCACATTTATATGAGATAAAAGGTAGAGATATTGAAATTTGTTCAAAAGTACCTTAAGAGGTTCAAGCAGCTGCATTTTATTTTTAATTTAGGCAACATAGTTGATTAATTGAATTAGAATGTCTTTTTATTAATTTTGTGATGAATTGATCTTGTTATGGACCTATTGTTATTGATTAATTATATTTAAATAGTTTATTTCTGTTATGATTATTGTGATAGTGTTAATTATAATATATTTATTTTATTATTTGTTATCTATTATTCATTGTCCTTACAAATAGATGATATATAAGAAAATAATAAGATATATATAGTCGAATTTTTTGTTTCAAATTTTTAGTGCATATAACGTATTATATACGTACGCATCTGTATTCATATTTTTATATTTATTTTTTTTTAAACAAATTTTTAAAAAAATATAGAATTATACTCCTATGTTTTTGTACTCGTATTTTTTTCATACTATATTTTACTATCTATGATCCAGACCACTTGTATAGAAAACCCTTGTTCTCTTCTGAGAAGTGAATAAATAATTTTTTAAAATTATTCTTTTATTATATTAGTAATGAATGAATTACTAACCAACGCAAGCCAAAACATAAAAACAAATTATCAACAAAAATTTATTAAAATAAACTAAAACACTTTATCATTAATTTAATTGCTATTTTATTATAGAGTTAATTTTGGGTTTGGCCAAAACATAATATTGAAATAACTTTCAAAAAATTATTATAACTCACATTACAAACTTTCATCCATTTTTTATTCACATTTCAAAAGTTACTTTTGAGACGTATCAAATCACTTTTTACTCGTAAAAATACATTTTTACCACTTTTAACTCTATGTTGACTTAAAAATAATAATTGAAATGACTTGAATACTCTTTTATTTTGATTGTGTGAATTTATAATTATTCTATATATATATCTATTTTGGCCACATGTGTGGAAGCAATTATTGTTACAAAGAAAAAATAAGTAGTAATTAGTAACAAAGAAAAAAATAATTAATTTATTATGTTACAATCCAACTCTACCAAGCCAAACTTCAACTTAGTACCAAAGTTTTTGGTTTTTGAATTAAGGTTTGGGACCACTACTGTTTCGTTACCATGAAATTAATTTTGGGTTAAGTGCAAAAAAAAATCCCTCTATTATTAATATAATGCAAAAAGATCATGTTATTATCAATTTAGTGCAAATAAGTTCCTGTGTGGTATAAAATGAAGATAATACCCTCACTTTAATTGAATAAATCAATAACTATAAATACAGTAAAATAATCTTTTTATTCAATTTGTGTAAAAAAAAAAAAATTAAGTAGCATATCTCAATTTTTTTTTGGACGGACAAGCATATATATATATATATATATATATATATTTCAGCCACTCACTCCAGCTTCAATCAACCAATCCACTCATCTTCCTTTATAATCTAACAATTGGAACCCAATTCATTCAAATCCATCGCTTAAATCAAGAGTTCCCAAACCCAAAGTTTCTAGGGTTCATATTATATATATACGTATCTACACATATATATATTGTCATTCTATATAATTACTTGAACTTAAGCCAAGCTTTATTACGGCGTACATCAACCAGTACATCCATCCATCAATTCTCAGCATAATCTCAACACAAATTTGCTAGTTGAATAGAAAGAGAAAAACATTCTCAGATCTGCTGGATAGATTTCATCATCGAAGACTTGTTATTCGCCTCGTCTTTCGTCTCCGCCGGAGCATCCCATTGTTGGTCATCACTTTCGCCGTCTGTCATATTATCCTTCTCTTCTCAAAGCATCGGCAACTTGTTTGTTGGGCACAGAGAGTTTTTCAGGTTTACAAGAGAGGGAAGATTTATAGTTTCACGGGTTAACCCGCTAAAAAGGGGTTTTAATTATTTTTATTTTTATTATTACTGTATTACATAATTTTTTGGGAAAATTACATATAAATGGAGTCAAAGTTCCATATTTACTTAGAAACTGAGTCAAAGTTCCATATTTCTCTAAAATGGATTGCTGAGGTGGCACATGATTTTTTACTGTTTATAAATTGTGGTACCTAAAATACCCTTCCGCGAAGGTACTCTTTTTCTTCGAAGGTACTACTTTTTTGAACTGGAGGTACTACTTTTTGGCGTCCAGATACCATATTTTTTAAACACCCGCGAAGGTACTACTTTTTCTCCGAAGGTACTATTTTTTTGAACTGAAGGTACTACTTTTTTGTTAGGAAAGGGCATTTTAGGCACCACAATTTTCTAAACAGTAAAAAACTATGTGCCACCTCAGCAATCCATTTTAGAGAAATATGGAACTTTGACTCAGTCTCTAAGTAAATATGGAATTTTGACTCCATTTATATGTAATTTTCCCTAATTTTTTTAGGACACCTGTCATATTTTTACTGGCATTGTCAACTAGAAGGACAATGTTTGAGTCCTCGAGTATTGTCCCACGGCAAAATGAAAATCTAAAGAATAAAATAAAATTTTTATATTTAGTTTTTGTCAAAAAGTGATTAAGGGATTTATCTTATCTTTTTTAAATTTTATGGACTAACTTGTACATTATAAAAAAGTAAGAATTAATTTTGCACCAACTCTATCCATAAAGGTTTTTTTTTGCACTTTAACCCTCAATTTTTATAAGATTGTGATTTACGTAACATCTTACAACAAATTGAGATTGTGATTTAAGAAACATCTTACAATAAATTGGTGGTGTGTTAAACAGGCGGTGTTTTGAGTATTTATAGAGAAGAGAAAAAATGTACTCTCTCTGTTCCACAAGTATTGTCATATTTGAGAAATTAGTTTGTGAGTCTCGATTTTTTAAACACTGACATTTTTTTTATGAGACAGGCGGTATAAAGAGAGTGGTTGATGGTGGGTGGCAGTTTCGTTTATGAGTCTGCGTGTAGGTATATGTTTGTGTGCATGATAGCACAAAAGAAAGAGATGATGATAAATTAGAAAGACGAAAAAAAAAAAAACACTAATATGGGTCCATTGAGGGACAGGAGTGTGGTCGGTGAGAGTAATGAATGAAGGGGGTAAAATAGTTATTTTAGTTGGATGATATTTTGAAATAAATGATATTAAAAAATTAAAAATAAATTGTGCTATTGCCGAAAAAGTAAATTTATACTTAAATAATAAATGGATAGCAAATCAAAATTCATTAAAATAAACTAAACTAAAAATAACACCGCCATATATATATTAGCTTTGATAAAAAAAAATTATAACACTAATTTCACCATTAATTAGATTTATGATACAATCATAAATTTAATAAAAAATAATTTTGTTTTTTATTTTTTCTTGTAAGATGATTTAACTGTTAACAGTCGCGCATAGGGTTTAGAAAGTTTCAGAGTAAGAGGAGAGAGATATGGGAGGAGTGAGTAGGATAGTGAAGAAGAGTTTGGGAGAGATGGGATTCAGCATGGATGGTGGAACCATCAACTGGTTCCCGGGCCACATGGCTTCTGCCACTCGGGCCATTCGCCACCGGCTCAAGCTCGCCGACCTCGTCATCGAAGTCCGCGACGCTCGCGTTCGTTCTCTCTTTCAAAACTCTATATATATCTCCTCTCTCTCTCAAATTTCATTTTTTATATTTTATTGCATAAACAGATACCATTATCCTCTGCAAACGAAGACCTCCAGGCTATGCTCTCCTGCAAAAGACGTGTTATCGCTCTCAACAAGAAAGATTTGGCCAATCCCAATATAATGCATGTACTGCTTTCTTTATCAATTACCCATATATACCCATCATAATTTTTGTGTAAATTTTAGTTACTGCTTTTGGGTTTGTATTTTGTGCTTCTAGATTTAGTTTCAGATAAAATATTATGTGAATTATTATCTTACTGTCCATAATTGTGTTGAACACAATGATGATTGGTTTTAACTTGACAGAAATGGACTAGTTATTTTGATTCGCGCAAGCAAGACTGCCTATCGATAAATGCACACAGCAAAAGCTCTGTTAGGAAGGTTAGCTGCTTAGCACTTGCAATTTGAAACACATTGTTAATTTTATGCGAAATATCCCCAAAGTTTATGATTTTAAGACCATTATGATTTATTATAGTACTTGCCTGGTGAACATTATTATATTAGGATTTATTATAGTAATTCCCTGGGTGAATATTATTATCTCATGATATAGCACAGATACACTTTGCATTTTCTTTGGTTCATTTTTTTTGGGGGAAATATAATGTAATGATTTTAGAATCTGCTAGCAATCATGTGAAAAAAATTTCTTTTTCTTCCCATTCTGAACATTTGCCCTATCTTTACTCATAAAATAATAATTATAACAATGAAAACCTATTTTTTGTCAAAGCTACTGCACTTTGGCCAACATTGTATGCTTTAATTAGAGAAGAAGACATATCCTTTTGGAATCCAAAAATTAGAGCTTTTGACACTTGACAATCAAGAAGTCATTTCTGTCCAATAAAATTTGTGCTAGTTTTAGGCCATTTAGTTATTTAAAATTTGAGTCACATCTTCCAGTGATTGAGACAACTCCTAAAAAAACCCTAATTTTCTTCTCAAATCCATTTTTCAGCAATTGACTTGTGATCAAGGCAGATTTTGCTGTCTTCTTATATCCTTTGTTGTTTTCTTTGCATTCTTTGTGCAAACTGCTGGTTATTCTTATTTGGATTGCTTAAATTCCTAAGCATTGCTTTGGATTTCTTTTTCCCGGTAGGTAAATTTACTCACACATGCCCCCACTTAGGCTTGAACCTGAGGGGAGGTCGAGGACATACCATTGGAATTTCCTCTAAACTTCTTTATATATTTTTTTCTTTTTCTTTTTGTAAGAAAAGAAATGCTTGTTATAGAAATAACAACAAACAGAAGCCTAATGCTAGTACAATCACTTCTTTTAAATTATGAACTGTTCAACATTAAACCATCTAATTTGTCTGCTTTATTTAATATGTGCAGATTTCTTTTATTTTTCCTTCTGTTATTCGATTTTTTTTTGGTTGTTTATATAGTTGGGATAAAGTCGTAAGAGTTGAGTTGCTTTCTGGTCAAGAAAGCATCAGCAACTTGTAAGGCGAGTAATGGTCCTTTACACCATGTGCAGTAGTTAGATATCCTTCAGTGACTGCACATGCAGCTTTTGATCTATGTCCAGAACGAAGAATATCATTTATCATGCAATGAATGTCTTAGCTACGGAGTATATGAGATATCTTCAATACATATTCTATGCTTTGAACTTGCTTTAACTTTCATTTTGGTACTCATTCTATGTTTATGAAATTGTATTCTGATTTGTGGTTCTTGTTCAAAGTTGCTGGATCTGGTGGAATTGAAACTGAAGGAAGTAATTTCAAGGGAACCTACTCTCCTGGTTATGGTAGTTGGTGTACCCAATGTTGGCAAGTCGGCTTTAATTAATTCTATCCATCATATCGCGTCAACTCGCTTTCCTGGTAAAGGGTTTCTTTGTTTTTGTGTAATCATTTTGTTCTCCATGGTAGGGGAAATTTGATCTCTAGTGTTTCTGTTCTAAAGCTATTTACATCAATCAATGAGAACTTCTAGTCTTTCTTAGTGCAGCAGAGAACGAAGCGTGCTACAGTGGGACCATTGCCTGGTGTTACTCAAGATATTGCAGGATTCAAGGTCACTTTTTCTAAGTAATTTGTGTTGTTTTGATTTATGGGCATTGATATTTGAGATCCACAAAAGTACTTTTACACCCCAGTTATTCTCTTGTAGAAAAGGAAACGAGCACAACTATTTTTCAAAAGTATTTTCATCCTCCACTGTTGTCCCAAAATATACTGTTGCAGCCCACTTTTAAGGGGTCATTTTTATTTTTGTTATTAAAAAGGTCAAGTCAAGTGTGAGGGTCCTTTAGGGGATTGCAACCACCACTTCCATTTTATATTTATGACACATTCAATCCAAATGAATTCTTAGCTTTTTTCAAGGGAGGGTTTTGATATGAATTTTGTTTAATATTTTTTTCCTATGTGATTTTTGAACAATATGTATTTTAATCTATACTCCTTTAGACCTTTTAATACATCATAAACTTTTTGAAATGAAATAAGCAAACACGTGGAAATCAGTTTTTAAATTTTTCTTTCTTCATTCTTCTTCTACTTTTTTTTTTTTAATTTATGAAAGGGAAATTATCTAGTACTGGCTCGGCCTATATGGAAAACAATAGTCATTTTTATTTTTACTTTTCACTAAGTGGTTGCTCACAGAGTAAAATTTGTTAATAAATAAAAATGATTAATTGACTAACAAGCCAGTGGCTTTGCGGTACCAAGCCCCTACTTCTCAAAGAGAGGCCAGGGGTTTGAGCCTCAGTGGAGGCATGTGTGTGTGACTAACTTGGAAAAAAAAATTTAATTGACCTTTAACCAGTAGCATAAGCCAAATGCTTACTTACCTAAGCATATGATTTTTTAAATCATCATATTTTCTATGTGTCTTCAGTTGCTGAATCTGTTTCAAATGATAAACCTAAAATCCCCAAAGAAATTCTCTGAAGATTGTAGCTTCTCAATAATTATTGATTCCTGCATCTTTCTCTTCTTGGAGAAAGAAGACAAGTTCTGGATCTGATGTCTGGTGTTAACAATAGTAGTTACAGCAGCCAAATTGGCTGAAGAATCTTCTTTTCTTAGACCATTTCTGAATTTTGAACTAAAAGTATTGATTCTCTTTATTTTGTGGGCCATTTTGTAAGTGTTCATGTTTCTGGCATTATGCTGATAAAAGTCCTTCAATTTCACGATCCATCTTGATCATGATACTTCTGTTGTTCTGTTATTCCTTAATCACTTGTTGAATAATATGATGTTTCAATGTTGCATGCTAAATTTGATTTATTTATGCACACAGATCGCCCACAAGCCTAGCATATATGTTTTGGATACACCAGGGATATTGGTCCCCAGTATTCCAGATATAGAAACAGGGTTGAAGCTAGCTCTAGCAGGTATAAATTTTTCTTGGAGTCTGTATTCCCCATCATTTATTTCGAATTTCTTTGACTATTAGATGTGTTTTAACCTAAGTCACATAGAGCGGGAGGGGAAGCGCGAGAGCGGCAAATCCCTAAAAATCTTAGAGCGGGAGCACCGCATTATAAACTTATAAAATATTCATTTATAATAGTAAATATATGTTTTAAATAAATTTCATGCAAATAAAAAGACAGAATAGTGAATCAAATATGATTACATTACAATCAATATAACCTGCTTTATAAAAATGCATAAATTAATCAAACAAGTTGCTTTATAAATAAATAAATAAATAAACATAACAATGAATAGGGCATAACAGAAAAAAAATAATAATAATAAAATAAATAAAAATTATTATTACTTCCAAGCATAAGTGCATAACAACAAAATAATAATAATAATAATAATAATAATAATAATGAATTTCATTCATTTTTATACATTTAACTTGCTTTAAGCTCTCAAGATGACAATCATTGGCTTTGAAATAACAATGTTCAAAAGCAAAAGAAAAAGACAACAATACTTCAGTTTGCAAATTCTACTACTAAACTTTAAAACAGACATGAAGTATCCAAACTTCCAAACCCAAAAGCAAAATGAGACTACTAAAACTAAATGTTAGAGACTATTTTGCTGCAATCTAGTTGATCCGTGGCCTCTTGCCTCGGGAAATTTCCTCTCTACGACTTGTTTGAGACATGTTAACCCCTTGAGTGGATGGCAAAAAAGTACTAAATGTTGCATTATCTAGAGAAGAACTTGAAGCCTCAATCTCATCAGCATAAAGTGTAGCCTGCTCCCTTTTATTGATACTTTCTAAATCATTATCCAAATCATCTTCATAAGCAAATTAACCTTATTTGGTCTGTTTTAGTTGGGGGCAAAACTGAAATTTCTCAAGATTCACATTAAATCCGTGAATTTATTTTCCAAAGTCGTCGAATTCTTGAACAGAATACGCGCTTTTTCCTTACACAATTCGTCGAATTGAATATTAAAAACCGGCGAATTCTTAAATTGAATTTCTGAATTCATAATTTTGAATTTGCGAATTCAAAAACATGAGAGCGTGAATTTTTGGTGAATTCGCTCTCAAAACGCCAATTCGCGCTCGGAGCGATGGAGCGCCAGTGGTTTGAGCGAGACACGAGTACAACATGATACGGACACGGTGATACGGCAAATTTTTAAAAAATAGGTCACGGACACGGCAAGGATACGTCAATATAATAATAATATTTTTTTTTTCCTCAATTTTTAATTTATATGCCTAAACACAACCTATTTAAATTAGTTCCACCAAGTAGCACATATTGTTTTTGAAAAACAGAACGGTTAATATGCCCAAATTCCATTAAAATATATGAGTAAATACTTATATATATATATGTATGTATGTATGTATGTCCAAAATGCGCAATTTTTTTATCCCTCTAACCAAACATGTTGTAAATTACTCTATTATTTATTATGTATATGTCCAACAAAAGGCACATGTTTTTATCCCTCTAACCATGCATGTTTTTTTTTTTTTGATAAGTAAAATTGTATAAAAGCGCTCAGAAGGGGAGCGGAACCCAAGAGAAAAACACAAGACCACAAGGGGCCTCTAAGCCTTCAGAGAGGCCAAAAAATCGACAATCTCCTCTAAAGATCTATGATCTCTTCCTGAAACTCAACAAAAAAGAGTGGAAAGAATAGAGAACTTAAGCATAGAAATTAGCATCTCCTTCCCATCAAAATATCTCCTATTCCTCTCAGGCCATAAACACAACCACACAGAGAGGCGTAGCCCTCTAAGCCTTAACCATACATGTTGAAAGACACGATAAGATTGAAAGCTTCTGATCTTATCCCCTCATTCTCCTTCTTTTACGGTACTGTAACTCTCCATCTCCTTATCTCTCTTCCTCACTCTCTCCTTCATTAATGGTATCAGGGCTCTGATCAGACCTTTTATCTCTCTTCTAGCCATTCCTATCTTATCTTCTCTATCTCTTAATATATTATATATTTATTTTTATCTCAACTTTATGCATCTGGGTTGAACAGATACACATATATACACATCAGCCCGTCGACGTATCAGCAGCGTGTCGACTGCGTATCTGAATTTTTTTTATAAACAAGGACACTTCTATTGCGTATCGGACATGTGTCCCAAGCTTGGACAAGCATGCCCGTATCCGACACTGATACGGCATACCCCCTTGCCGTATCGGTGCTTCATAGCTATTGAGATATGTTCGATTATCAGAGCTTGTTCAACTTGACGTTTATGTAAGATAGTAGTGAGGGTAGGGACGAGACCCAGGGATTTTTCTAACTACTCAGTATCAGCTACATAAGTTCAATTTTTTCATTCTGCTCTAAGTTCAATTTTTCTAACTACTTAGTCTATCCCTTCCTCTAACATTTACTTCAACATGATCGTGTGCATGTGAAGGGATTATTTTTGCTCTTGATGTTATTTGAATCATGCAGCATTTATTTATTTATATTTTATAATGCACATGCAGGGTCCGTGAAAGATTCAGTAGTTGGTGAAGAGCGTATTGCTCAGTACTTATTAGCAGTTTTGAACACTCGGAGCACTCCCCTCCACTGGAAGCGCATAAATGATAGAAGATTTGAGGGGCTTCAACATGAATCTGATGGCAAACATGAGTATAATCTTAAAGATCTTCTGTCAAAAAGGAGGAAGCCATTGGACAGGTCTGATGTACATTACATAGAGGTACTAATGATCTTCCTATTTATGTGAGCTAAAAGGCCAAAGGAATTTCAAATAACTGATAGCCAAGAAGTGTGAACTGAATGTTTCCTGATTACTTTAATCTACCCTTTATTACTTTTAACTGAAAGCATCATACTTAATTATCTTGTTTGTATCATAATAGTTCAGCTTTCTCGATATTTTAATACTCCAATCACTATTTTTTAATGTTTTTTACCACAAGAATACAAGTAAACTCATTGGTGATGAGTGTTGCTTGTGCATCAATCTTTGCAGGTTTGTGTTGCCTTCAGCTGTGATTGAGATTGCGAGTCATAGAGAACTTTTCGGAAATTAGTTATTGGTGTTCACCTTCGACATGTTTTTACTTTTTATCATCCTATATGGTCACTTCTCAGCTGAAAAATTCTACACTACCACATAAAAGGCAACTTGCATCATCACCTGAAGCTTTTGTGGATGAGTGGCGCTGGTTTTTACTAATTTTTTGCTGATCTGTATCCAATTTTATTTACCAGCAAAAACTGGTTTGCATAATTTTTAATTTCCCAGCCAAAAATGATTTTGACATTATTTTGCTGACTAGTTGACATTTGTATCTGGTATCCTCTTGTGTGGATGGATTTGTAGCCTGAAATATATTAAATTAATCAATTCTGTCGTTTATCTTGTTCCATTAGTATATTTTATTTTGTGTTCCCAAGCAAAAATGTTCATCTTTTTCCCATCACTTTAGTTCATGTGTCTGTAATTAAATTCACTGAAATGTGTAAAATTATTCCATTAATACATTCATGGCTGTGGGGGACTTCTAATTCTACTTCATCCGCATGGAACTCCGTCCACTATTTGAAGTTATTATTAGTATGCATTTGAAAATTTTCAGCTGACTTGGTAAATTTCTTCCTCAGTTTCCCGCTTTTGAAATCTCTCTTTTTTTCTTCCTTACAGGATGTTGTTACTGAAGTCCAATGTGCACTTTATGCGTCGCTCTCAGAATTCAGTGGTAATCTGGAAGACGAAGGTGAACTGGAGAGTCTTATAGAACAGCAGTTTGAAGCACTTCAGAAGGCACTGAAAATACCTCAGAAGGCATCAGAAGTTCGCACTGTGGTGTCAAAAAAGTTCCTTACTTTATTTAGGACAGGTAAACTCGGTCCTTTCATCCTAGATGATGTACCTGATACCTCTAATTCTGTATCTTGAAATCCCTTGTCAGGCATATTGTAATTTTCCCCCTTGAATATTTACCGCACTGCCCGCATGTAATCACAACATTGTCTGCCTGAAAAAATGAATATTTTTCTCTAACAGTAAAAGTATTATATCCCATTTTATACTATTATACTGTCATTTTTATTTCATTGCCTTTATATCGAACTAAATCAAATAATAGCACGTCATGGTTATTGTTTGTACTGTAATGAGATTAGGGAACGCAGGAGTGTTTTTCTTTTTCTTTCCTTTTTTAATTTTTATAATAATATTGGGAGTTGAAGGCGTGTTAGGACAGCATAAAATTCTAGTTAATTTTTGGGTAAGCAAAGAACAGAAATTTCTGCAAAATGAATATTGTCTTTGAATAAAGGTGGTGTCATATGGTTGTTTTCTTGTTCCATGATTTGCTTCTTAAGAGTTTGAAGTCATCAATAAACATGCTTATGCGCCTATTGTTACTCTCTCTCGCGTGTGTGTTGAATGAATATAAGGAGTTGTTTCAACGAATGAAGCAAATAAGAAATACGGCTGTGTCTGATTGAATGAAAATGTTAATGTTCACATTGTTAATAGATTAAGAATTTCTTTTTCTAATTACTTATCAAAAAAAAAAAAAAAAAAGAATTTATTTTTCTAAAAAGTCAGGTCTGCAATAATTGTTGACCGAATATAATTCTGGAAATCGAACTCATCAAAACCTACCTCTGAGATGGAACAGTAGTTATGAGTAGAAGCACAAAATAAAATGACTTTTCCATGTAATGAAAAAATAAAAACCTCGATGAGTATAACCCCGGAAGTTTGAAAATCGTTTCCATTACTTATACCCAGGCGAAGTTGTCCATGATATTTCGATCATTTCTATTATTTCGGAGGGTGTGTTCGACTGTATGAAATTGGAATCTTAGAATTAGAATCGGTGGAATTTGAGAAATTTTTTATTCCATTTTTTAATTTTTTTTTCTTAAATTTCACAAATTTCAATTTCAAGCTCGAATTCTATGTAGTCGAACACACCCTTTGAGCGCTTTTTGCACCACAGCTGTAATTTGGGTTTACTGAAATCTCAAATGGAAAAAAACCAAAACTGTCTTTGATTTGTGAGGTGTGTCAAGGAGAGAAATTAACTAGATCAAAAGTTGCATTTTGCCGCCAAGAATTTGGTGAAGATGGAAAGTCATCATCACCAACTTCGTCCTCTTCAATCGTACCTCTGGGTACAGTAGCATCACGGATGAGAATAAACTGCTCAAGAAGGAAAATGGGATATTAAACTCCGAGCTTTCAAGCACCAAAGAGAAGTGTAAAGAGCTAGCTACTCGATTTGGTGCCCATGCGTGGGGACTCAGAGAAAAGAGGAGTTTGAGATCAGAGAGGTTGTGTGTGTGGTGTGTGTGTGTGTGTGTGTGTGAGAGAGAGAGGAGAGATTAGTGACAGGCATGTACAAAAACTTAAAACCAAGTACTAAGTAGCCGACACACATATATATACATAAATATACAGATATACATACATATATGTGCGTGCGCAGGCTCAAGGCTTCACGTTCAAGCTTAACTTGGTACTTCTTTCTTATGTACTCTCTTTCCGATCAGTGATACTCAGACCAGGGGACAAGCGATGAAAAATACATGGGCATGAGAATTAAGTGACAAACAACTGGGGCAATACTTAATTTCATATTTCTATGAACATACATAATTTATAATTTAACAAATTGAAAAGTTCAGAATTTAATCTTACAACAAGAATAACAACTTAACTCAAACAAAAGAGAGAAAATTCATAATCGATTTTAACAATAATGCCTTCGAAATGGAGTAGGTGTATAATTCCTCGGTTCAGAGCAGGCCATGTATGTTGGAACAACTTTTGATGATGATGAAGCACAACAGGGACTTGATTTGCTTCATTGAAAGCATATGTGACCAATTGAGGTGTCTGTAACACTCTGAAACATACTCAAACAGTAGTTTGTACCTTACTCATTCTCGTCGATCAAGCTCATTCTCAGCCTTTTTGGGTTCGGATAATCATCGCATTCCTCAACAGACAAGGCATCCACAGGCTCCCCTTCTTCATTGTTATTGCCTTTCTCGATTTCAGTACGCACCGGCTGCTTTCTGGATGATGATGATGATTCATCACCATTTCCTTGTCTATCTTCTTCAACAGCAACACTATGACTATGAGAAGCAGGCAAGCTATATTGGTTCATCAATCCTTTTGAATCTTGTTGTTCATACACTATTCGAATCCCGCACTTCCTCACCTTTGTTGAATCATCATCAGTGGTGAACAAAACCTCCACCTGATCCCCACCCTGAAGCTCATATCCAATATCAGAATGTGGTACATGGGCCAACCACATGTGATCTTGGCGGGTTATTAGGATGCTTGAAGGTGTTTTCCGCATCCATTCAATGCTCCTTGTTTTGTTATTAATCACAACATCAAGAAAAGTAAATGTCGTAGTGTCGTTATTGATCGTATCTACTTCTGCAGAGTATATGACGCACAATGCCAAGCCTTGGATCACCTGATCAGAAAGCCGAGGCACCACAAAAGAAATTGAAGCTCCCACAGTTTGATAGTTGTACCAGTTTGGAATCTCACTTCCAGGAAGATAAAATGCATTTTTACAATATTTGGATAGTTCCTGTCAATAAAAATAAGACGTTAGACACAGAGCGCGCACAGAGAGAGAGAGTGAGAGAGAGAGAACCATGATGAAGGGGCTATTTCTAAAAGAATTTGCCAAATTGCTACACCATTCCATGTGAATGTTGTCTATGGATTCCAACTTGTCCAATCCAGTAATCTCAACTAGTTTGCTGCAACCACTAAGAAACATGGATAGATTTGCCGGCGCATTTGATACATTTGATATCCTCTCCAAAGATGAGCAATTTGGTGCAACTAAGAATGCCAAACTTGCTGGAAGATCTGGAATTGACCTAAGCTTGGTGCAATCATCCAATAGAAGCCTCTCAAGCTTGGAAAGGCGACTGATGCTTGTCGGTAGGCTACAAAAATTGTTGTTTCTTAGATCCAACTGTTGCAATGATGGTAAGGTCCCCAGGTCATTAGGAAGTGAATCGTCTATCAAATTGCAATTTGGAAGGAATAGTCTTCTTAAGGAGCACAAACCAGATAAAGAAGTCGGTAATAAACTTATTGAATCTGGATTTTTTTTGGGTGAAAAAAAGGACCAGAAGAGTGAAGGGAAAGATACAGTGGACACTGTTTGATTATTTTGACTAAATGATAATTCCCTTAGGTTCCTCAAACGATTGATGGAAAGGGGTAGTTGCTTTATAGCTGTGTTATATGCAAGAAGCACCCCCAATTGTTCCATTTTGCCAATGTCTTCTGGTAACTTATCAAGTTTCAAGCACCCTGACAGATCAAGATTTTCAAGAGACTTTAACTCGCACATAGTTGCTGGAAGAACCCTAAGATTTTTGCAATCTCTCAAATTCAAGAATACAAGTTTGTCAAGATTTCCTATTGATTGATGAATTTCTACCAAACTTGTGCACTCTAGGAGTAACAATCTCTCTAGGCTAGGGAGTCCTTTGAAGTCTGGGGTTTTGGTTAGGTTATGGGAATGGCTGAGATTAAGGACCTTCAACTTTTTGAGCATCTGTGTTTAGAGTAAGAATCAAAAAACAAATGGTTAATTTTCATAATAAAATGAAGAATGTAATTTCATATTTTCACAAAATAAACTGAAGACAATAATTTCATACCTTACTCTCCTTCCAAACTTGTTTCAGGCCACTGCAAGACATGTCAATTTCAACTACATTCTGCAGACTAAAATTAGTTGGTATTTGCTTCAATGGGAATCCATGCCAACATAACCATCTTAATTCTTTCGAGAAATGTTCATAGCTTCCCGTCAAATTTGCATAATTGAGTTGGAGTAACCGTAGTTTTTGCATCTTTGCAAATGCTTCAGTTCTCAAGGGCACCACATTTTGACTGCAGAAGTTTAGAATGAGGCCTTCAACTACTTCTGTTCCCTGAGAAAATCATTAGGTAAGTAAAAAATCTATAACGCTATCGTTTAGAGAAACACACAGAGAAGAAAGGCACACAACTAATTTATTTAGCGTCTTACCGTATGCTTTGTCAGTACATCCAAGACATCCTCATGGCGCCACAATCTACTACGTTTCCCAAGTTCCTTGGGGGACTTCTCACGGATGATCTCTCTTCCCATGTCTCGCAACAAATCATGCATTCTAAGTTTGTTATCTTCATTGATTGTCACGAGACACCTATCAGCAAGAATGCGAATTGCGATCTTTGAGGAGAAGCCACAACCATCCAGTATCCGTTTCACGTCTCCTTCATCCATTCCAATAAAGAAGCATGCAATGTCAAGAAATATATCCCTTTGTTCATCATCTTCGAGTGCATCAAAACTTAGTTTTAGTTTTTTCTGAATTTGATTATCAGGAATCTTTTTCAACTTTTCCAATGCACTTTCCCATTCAGGAATGCTTCTTTTGTCAAAAAGAAAGGAGCCAAAAACTTGAAGAGCTAATGGGAGCCCCCCAAGGTAGCCTGTTATAGCTTTTGACAGCTCTAAATAATCTTTCCAAGGATCGCCTTTTCCAAAGGCATGCCAACTAAAGAGTTGAAGAGATTCAACACAATCTAATTTCTTAGCCATATATATCTTGTCAACTCCGATAACATTTAGCAAATGAACATCTCTAGTTGTGACAATTATTCTACTTCCACAACCAAACCAATAGCGTTCTCTAACTAAAGCACGCAATTGGTCTAAATGATCCACATCATCAAGAACTACAAGTACCCTTCTATTATGTAGTCTATCTTTGATGACATTAGTTCCTCTATCAACATTGCTGATCTTCAGCTTTTTTTTCATCAGGATATCGAAAAGAAGCTGCTCTTGTAAACAAACCAAACCATTAGGTCGTTCTGAAATTTCCCTTACGCTGGTAAGAAAGCTATTTCCTTCAAATGTGTGAAACTTTTGGTTGTAGAGCGCTTTTGCAATGGTTGTTTTACCTATTCCACCCATTCCACATATCCCAACTATGCGAACGGTGTCTGTCCCAAT